CTTCTGTTTGAAGAGTACAACCCTTATAACTACCCCGCCACTCCGTTCACGAATAAATAATCATCTCAATATTTACCGTAGAACTTCAATGCTCTGCGCGGTGGGCTGTCACACTGTCTTACTGACTCAGCAGTACCGCTACATCATGACGAGGATGAGTTCTTCTTCTTAACTTTGAATCTGGTTTTCTAACGTATAACTTAAAATTTCCCTTCAATCCTACAAATTCTGGCATGGAAGACTGCGACACCTATTTGCTTCTATTCTCTATCGGTCTTGGCACAGATGGCGCCTACTAAAACCTGTTCTATACCGTCCTACCAAACATACATTCTGAAAACATGAATATACGATCGTTCTTCTTGTCTCGAATAAGAGATACTTTAAAGCCCGCGATGTACGATCGCTTCTTTCTGTCTCATCCAGAGACCAAGACTCACACAGCCGCTTGTTCCTCCCAAGCTCTGATCGAGTTACTAAGCAAAAACATTGCTAACAATCTCGATCAAACTCATGTTTTAAATAAAAACGACCGCAGCTTTGTATTGGCTTCAAAAAAACTTCTCTTCGGGTTTATGACCCGTCAAACCGTTATCAAGAGAGAATTTTGTGGCACCGAACTTATGCACTTCCAGTCAACCCAAAACCGGAGGGGTTCAGCAACTCGATCCTTAGAATATGATTGTATCTCAAATAGAGGTCCAGAACGAGACAACTTTCACGCTGTCAAAGTCCGCAAGCCTCACACGAAAACTTAATATAACACCTCGTCACTTTTACAGTATTACTGTCGCAAGTTATTTCTAATCTTAGATGTCTCTCGAAATGTTCACAACAATTGACAGTCATGCGTCGTCCAAAAGTTTAGGCTAGTCCTGATTTTTGGTGTAGAAAAAGCATATGGAAAAAACCTCGAAATTTTGTTGTGATAGCAGCGGTTACTGATGAATAAAAATAGAGATTGCCAGTTGATATTTTCATTTTTCAGATTTAAATTTCTGATTGTTTTCATAGTTTTGAAAACATATTATTTTTCTTGATTTTAATTTATTAATATATGCCAATTTTGGCCCACAGCATACACTAGGACGGAGACTTGCTGATCGTAGACTATGCTCGCGCTGCCCTCGTAATAGCGCTCTTTAACCTTCCTCATAATTTGAGATCCTGATAACCATCTGCGCAGTCCATTATCGCAAGAAGACAATTGTTGAGGCCATATTTTTATTATACCATCGTATTCATTGCAAATCGACAAGTCACCATTGGTACAACTTAAGACAAAGTTATGAAAAGCACTACTACAACTGCAAGTGGAGAGCACTTAGTCCGCTCAAAGTTGTATGTTTACGCAACTATGTGAAACGCTGAATTCATCCGCATGATGATGAACCGTAACTTTGATCGGTTCAAATTCAAGTTGATCTAAAGTTCATTCCAATCATCTTTTGACCGATCTGAAGAAAAGCTATCTATCTTAAGGTAGAACATGGCGAGTACTGATATCGTATGTGCTTACATCTGACGCTTTTATCACAAAGGTATTAAATACAAATCGTACAGATGTAAGAAGCTCACATTGCGATTTGGTGTCATTGTAAATATTCGAGGTACTGAGGATAGGAATGCTAAAGATGATAAAACTCCGTAAGGAAGAATTTCGGGGGGTAGGGCGGTTCTAATCAAGTAATTCTCAAATCTCTTGGATTGCAGAGCTCATCATGGTAGAGACTCTCTTTCAGCTAGCGTACAAACCTAACACATGGTCATTTGTAAACGCTGACTCTTGAGTCATAGTCTTCTTTGTGCAAACTACACAGAATCCCCGATGCACTTGGTAACACTTGAAGTCACTCCCACGATCGAGTCGTGAAAGACAGCGAAGAAACCGTTTGAGTTGCCGTCTCTCAGAACCTGGCCAACATAGTTTGCTTATTTTTATCATCGGTCTTGACGATACCCGAAATTATCGACTAAAGGGATGGATATTGTAATCGCTTCCTGACGGCATTCATATGCTAAAAGAATGCGCAGATGGTACCTCCAGGATAGACCCAACCGTGCACCAAAGGGAGACCAGATGACACCAATTATGAGGCCGCCGATGTGAACGTCCGACTGCTTGATGGTAGTGGTGTAAGAAATTGCTTCCTCTGTAAAGTGGCCATGCTCCAAATTCAAATCAACAACGCGTTGTGCATACAGTCTCCAAGTTATTGGGCTGTGCGCAAGAATAGGCACTAACATGCAATGCCCTTCCAAGAGAGGGTCTCACATCTGATGATCTGAAGAAACAGTGTTTGCACCGCTTATCGTGGCAATTCTTGTCCAACCGTCAAGTCAAAGAAGGCTAGAAGTACTGGACTATATCCGGGTGTTAAAATTTCTTATCGCCGTGATGGCACATTGTCATCTGGCTCCTCTCTCAACGACGGAAAAGTGTACAATCTTCATAAAAAATTGTCCAAACGGGTGCTTCTTGCACCGAGACATTCCAAGCCCATCGACTTTATTCGAGAAAGCGGTATGCGCTGTGGTATGACAACTGGCTTTCGATGGCCAGAGGACTAAAAGTACGTGCACCAGAGGCTATGGATGTAACGGGTTTACGCACACTCTGGTATGAAGAGGAATTCACACAAGATGGTGTGACCGTACATGGGTGTGAATTACAAAAGACGGTGTAATCACACAATGGTGTAGCTGCACTGAAACAACAAATCAGAACACGGCTGGACTGCCAGTAGTTGTGCATTTTAGTTGGGTTTCACTATTTAATTAGAAGACCTATAAATTTAGATATAAGCGGTTGGGCCGCAAATAAAATCAAAATATACATTTTACGTTTGAACGAAAGAATTTACTTGCCTTGGGTTAAGGTTGTGGTTACTGTTGGGGTAAGCAGATTACGATTCACTACACTCGTTCTGGTTCTAAGTATAGCGCCGACCTGAAGTTAGCTTCCTCTAGTCAAAGCGCTACGACAGCCGCACTGCAATTAGTAGTACTTGCAGTCAATTTACACTTGGGTCGTTACGACTGATCTTCGGTGAGCATGGAGCAGTTACCCGTTTTGCTCTAGGGCATGCAGGACCGGCTTAGAAAGCTGATGTCTCTGCTTGCCCCTGAGGACGTACAACTCTTGCTTAGGAAGAACCTGAGCGATCACGGCGCGCCTAAATGCGTTTTTAAGCTATGAAAATGCTCTGCTAGAGCACCTATAGCAGAATGTGGCGGCATCGACTGCGTCCATAACGCCACCGTCGACAACGGATGACTCCTATCGATCCTAGCTGCTCATGGTGAGCGTTAAGAACTTTGAGGGCAAGGATAGTGAGTATCTCCTGCTCTAGGTGAGAGAGGCCGGGATTGCTGTAGCTCCGCCATAATCCAGACCGGGCAACGGCGCGTGGCGCTAGCTATCTCCAAGCTCGGTGGTCGGGCACAAGAATGGGCAGTGATGTGCGGTACTTCGGCTGAAGCGGCATCTCCCTCCTGAAATAGGCTAGAGCTGTAGCTTTAACGAATGTTTCGCCGCCAAAACCAGGCATATCGCGTGCGGTCGCGTTTCCTTCCCGCCCGACAGAGCAAGAAGGAATTGATGCATTTTGTACAAGGGTTGCGTATTGTCTTTGCCGGTATGGTAGCCGATCCTCTTCTCTAGGCGTTTACAGTGACCGTCTTTATGAAGGGTCGCCGCACTGGCGTCGCCAGTATGTAAATCTTCCGTATGCACCCGTCTTCTTTTGAAGATACTATAAAGATGGTATTCGATACTGAATCTAGTTTTGTTTCGCAACGACTTTAATTGAATGCACATTCTAGCTGCTCGTCGAGCGGGTCTGAGCCGATGGATCTTAGCTAAGCTGAGGACGACGAGGCAGCGATCCAAGCTGCCGAGCAGCATTCGAACACCCGTCACCTTTGGATTGGTTGTCCCGTGTGCAAGGCGCGTCAAGTTCATCGAACTGACGTCCCGCTTCTTACCAGTCTTCTGGTTTGTCGCGAAGGAACGACAACACTCAGTAGGCGCGGGGCGGTCTACTGGGAAAGAACTGAGTTCTGTTAAGCTCAAAGGGGAGAGGTCAGAGACGCCCAGTCCCGAAGAGCTTCTTGCTCTTGAACACGGAACGTGTATGCAAGCCGGGCTTGCTAGACGTATAACCGACCGTGAAGGGCCTTGAGAAGCAGTTGTTGCATGCCAAGAGTGGCATGGTCGGACGAGGTCCGAGGCATCTTGGGTAAGCCCCTTCAGATGGCACGTTATGCACTGGATGAAGACTACGGAGCTAGCAGCTCTTCGTTAGATATGGTAAAAAATATCAGGACTCCGGTGGAGCAGGAAGTCGGCTGACACCGGAGGAGGCTGAGTGCATAATCCCCCCGGTCTCACCGAGATATACAACCGCTGCGAAGAGGCAACAGTGACACTGTATGCTAGCTGCAAGACGCCAGGCGTCGACCCTGATCCAGAGTGTGTCTACCGTAGATGACGGTGCACAGTTGTACACCCCCATCAACGGTATGACGGGGAAGGGAGATGACGACGTCCGCCTCAAAGGGAATGCCTGGAAGTGTGGCCTTCGAGCGGATCCTGCAAACTTCAAGGCCATTGTAGTTTGGCCGGTTCCAAAGAACCAGAAGGACTTGCGTAAGAGGCTTGGTCTTGCCAACTACTTGCACAACTACAAGGTAAATTACGCAGAAATGGCCCGGCTGTTATCCAATCTCCTTAAAAAGGATGCGAAATGGTGTTGGAACACCGAACATCAGGAGGCTTCTGATGGGGTCTGAGACAGCCTCCTGCATGCACCGATACTGGCGCTGCCAGACCCTGATCGTCCTTTCAGC